CCATTGTGTAGCTTTATGCTTAATTAAAAACAAACAAGCAAGCTTCAAGAGAATGGCACAGCGGCATGTCTGCGGATTTACAACGCTAGAATCCGGGTTTCGATAGCCGTGGTGGGCAGAGCACAGATAGCCCATTGTGTAGCTTTATGCTTAATTAAAAACAAACAAGCAAGCTTCAAGAGAATGGCACAGCGGCATGTCTGCGGATTTACAACGCTAGACTCCGGGTTTCGATACCCGTAGTGGGCAGAGCACAGATAGCCCATTGTGTAGCTTTATGCTTAATTAAAAACAAACAAGCAAGCTTCAAGAGAATGCCACCCAGTGGCACAGCGGCATGTCTGCGGATTTACAACGCTAGAATCCGGGTTTCGATAGCCGTGGTGGGCAGAGCACAGACAGCCCATTGTGTAGCTTTATGCTTAATTACAAACAAACAAGCAAGCTTCAAGAGAATGCCACCCAGTGGCACAGCGGTATGTCTGCGGATTTACAACGCTAGAATCCGGGTTTCGATAGCCGTGGTGAGCAGAGCACAGATAGAAACGTCACGGGTCAAAGTAGGAAGTGGGTATAACTCAAGAAATGGCTCTTCGTATCGGCATTATGGTGGCGGCTGGAGTAGAAACTTTAGCTGAGTTTATGTATTACTGCAATAGTGGCAGCTATTTTTAGCCCCGCGGCATAGCGTCTCAAAGAAGGGTTCCGAGTTTGCTTGTTATTTTTTTCCCCCAAGTCAATCTTTTAGCTCATAGCTCCACGGCCACAGCTCCACAGCGGTATGTCTGCGTACTCACAACGCTAGAAACCAGGTTTCGATATCCGTGGCGGGCAGAGCACAGATAACCCACTGGATAGTTTTGTGCTTAATTTCAAACAAACATAGCTCCACCATCTCTTGACCGATTTGAGATATAATTACACTTTTGGACTCAGGAGGTCAATCCCTTTCGGTTGATCTTTTTGATCACGCCAAAGATCTCATATATAATAACTTTCGTCTAATCCTGCCTAAAGGAATTTCAATTTGAGAGTACATTGGTGGAGATCCTAATGAATAATAAAATTGAATCTGGTACACGCTTGGTATTGTTGGCGTACAAAAATATAACAAATAAAAAGGAAAAGTGTCTCGTAGATTAATCTACTCTAATCCTGCCTAAAAAAATTTCAAGTGCCATGGCTATTGAGGATTCCCTCTTGTTTTTTCATTGCATTCCCCCCATAGAGTGTGTGTGTCAGGGTTTTATTATATGTGTTGGGCTGAGGATTCTTCTACAGTAGGTGTCTGTGACTTTCTGGTGATAAATTCGAACAATAAACGGACAACACAGTCACTTAGGCTGATTCAATTACTTTAGAATCCAACTGAAAAAACGAACTATTTTTCTCTATTTTTATCACTATAGTATCTTACACTACCTTGTGGGTTACCACAGTTGTATCTCGAACTTCAAATAATTGTCTTATTTCGTCAAAGTCCACACAAGCGGGTTCAGTTACTTTAGAACACCATTTGCCAAGACAAATTATTCTCCTTATCTCTGTTAAACTTTGAAACTCGTTTAATAAAAATATCACCAATACAGGCAAATCACTCACACGCTGGCTAACTTCACGTTTTCTAACTTTTCTTTCACTGAAGTCTCGAAAAATAGCGAAGATTCGAGTAATGTGACGTCAACAATATTAGTAAAGCCTAGACAACAATGTAATTGCAAACATAACGTACGACTGGTACAGAGTTACCTAACTAAACTTGTCATAACTACCGCTTTTAAAATAACTACTTTTAACTCTCTTGTTATGAAGAGTAAATTAAATATTAAATCACTAAATACACGAAATAATAACACTTACACTAAACAATCTTGTATATCCAGACGTTTGTGTGTCTTCCTACACATTTTGTGTATGTTCTGTTATAGAATATTTAATACTTTTCTTGCGTAAGGACATGGCACCATCTATGAATGTAGTTAATGTTAACCTACGTCAAATATAATAAATGCTCAATAACAGCAATAGTGGGGGGTGTAGGGGGTTGTTAACCCTCATTAACATGTCCCTTGTTTCAAACTATCATCCCATAAAGTTTGGTTGAGATTGGCCCAGCGTCCCAGTAGTAGTTAGATAAGGGATAAACAGACAGACATACAGATGTTTGTGCTTTATATACATATATAGTAATAAACAAGCCCACCTAAATGGCTCACTGGTTATCCTATGTACCTTGCTATAGTTTCCTCTTCCCCCATGCTTTAAGTCCACGACGATATAGAAGAGGATCTTAAACCCACCTCATTTTATTCTTTTAATAACTGTTAGAAATAATATCTCATCTCCCCCCTCGCAATTTTCGACTTTACTATACCTGACTGTGAAGTCTTTAAAACTATCATTGATGAACTTTTCCTAGCTGTACTGATGACCTATTGATGACTATGTTCTTCCTGTGTCTAATACATTTTCTGAAGCTATTAACGCACTATAGGAACTACTATCTAAGCTCCTGGAAATTAACACACTCCAGTGGCTCAGCGGTAAGTCTGAGGACTTATTAACATCGGGTTTCGATACCCGAGATGGGTAGAGCACAGATGACCTATTATGTAGATTTGTGCTTAACAGTAAACAAACAGAAACGTCGTTTTTACCCTATAACCTACAGGTATCATAACCCGTCTCCTTCATGCTGATGCGACCGCCGCTCCATCTCCAAAGCCGAAATCAAGAATATATATCCAACCAATTCAGTCCCTGGTGAAGACGGCATTCATAACCTTGTCCTTAGAAATGCATTCAGATAGCTTCACGAAAACACAGGCCAAGTACCGATCATGTAACGAGGCTTAACAGAGAAAGGTTTAACTTTAAGGCTTTAGTCGTAACCATTAGATGTTGATGTATTTCTTCATGTGTAAAAACCTTTTGGCTCCGTTTAGCACCGAGAAAACGGGAAGGCTTAACAGAAAAAGGTTTAACTTTAAGGCTTTCCTCGCTGGCCCGGCATGGCCAGGTGGTTAGGGCGCTCGACTCGCAATCTGTGGGTCGCGGGTTCGAATCCCCGTTCCACTAAACATGCTCAGCCGTGGGAGCGTTATAATGTGACGGTCAATCCCACTATTCGTTGGTAAAAGAGTAGCCCAAGAAGAGTTGGCGGTGGGTGGTGATGACTAGCTGCCTTCCCTCTAGTCTTACACTGCTAAATTAGGGACGGCTAGCGCAGATAGCCCTCGTGTAGCTTTGCGCGAAATTAGAAAACAAACCATACACACACACAAAAACAAATCCTGTTTTAAAAAATTACCATAATTGTTTTTTTTTCTTCAAGAAATTTGATAACACTTGGAACATGCTAATATACTAAAATAACTTTTGTGATTCTGTTCGCAGAAGTTATCTCACGGTTCGTGAGCATAAAGTCTATTCACTTTCAATCAAACAATTGTAAAATTAAACAATCCGGTTTTGAAGTTAATGTCCAGTTAATGTACTCTTAAATCCCGATCAAACTGTGCCTTAATTTTACAAAAAATAAAATAGAAGATTAGTACATAATAAAAGTATCATTGGCTTAGAACTAAAATTTCAGAATGGACAAAAGAAAAAAAAAAGAAGAAGTAAATTAATGGAAAATCTTACCATTTCTTTGGAAGGAAGGTTTGAAATAGGTACTGCAACTACGTACGCTGAGATCCATAACAGAGAAAAAACTTTTGTAAATAATGGTTTCTGAAAAGATCGTTCAAGCTTGGCTCTCATGATTTGGTTTTTAATGCAATAAAGATTTTAAATGTTAAGAAAGTATGTTAGGTATAAATATGAGGAGAATATCAGTTTACAACTGGTCTGAGACGTCTTGCTGAGAAAATGTCTGGTTAACGATTTAGGGAGGAATATTATATATATATATATGTGAGATGCAAGTGTTAGTTTTAGAGAAAGCGTTTCTCAGTATTACTGACTGATCCGAAAAGAAAGATTATTTATTGTATCGCCATTACTCAGGATTTCT